ATGAAAGGAAAAAGAGCACAAGTCTTCCTATGAAGTCAACTTATGGATGGCAGAATTTAGTCCCTTGATGTCACTGTTGAGCTACTGGAAAAATCTACTTTGAAGTTCACTCTGTGTCTAAATTATATGAAATTATTTACTTTTTTTTAAACTAATTTGAGTTGAGTTTCCCGATTCAGTGGAAAACATCCTAATAAATACACCCCCTTTTGCAGCTGAGAACACTGAGGTTCAGAGAAGCATAAATATAAAAGGATGAGAAGTTGAGAGGAGAAAACCACAATAAAATTTTGGAATTTAGCAGACCTGGAAAAATTTTGGAAGTAACCAATTTAGCCACCCAAGGAAGCTGAATTCTATGCCATCTGTGCTTGATGGCAGAGTCCTCCAAAGTCTCAAAAAGTGGCACCATCAAATGAAGTGGAGTTAGCCACTTCATAAGGATTGGTTGAAAATCCTCTTTATGAAAGAGTTTGATCCCTACATCTTTTCCCTCCATGCAAGGTACCAGGCAACTGCCTCTTTCCCACCCTGGCAGAAGAGTGAGGGTTATTCTCCAGAGAGAGTGAAACAGAGAGTCTTTGACCTAGGTACAATTGCGGGTAGAAGCAGAGGATTCAGTGAGTGCTTGACTAAATGCATAGGTTTCCATCTTCCTTCACTTGGATAGCCAGGCTTAATCCTCCAAGAAAGAGGTAAAAAGGGTCTTAGCTGGGGACTTCATCCAGCCTGAGAGGATGAGAGGGTCTAGCAATAAGGTGTCCTCAATGAAAAACACAGCTAGATTATTCTACAGGAAATCTCACTGTTGTCAAGTCCTACCAACACAGTATTGGGTTTCAAATCAGCATTTTTAGTGCTTTATTCTTAAATATGAGCAAACAAACTGAGGCTCACCAGACATCTGGGAAACCTTGCCATATGAAACAAACAAACAAATAGAAACACTTGGGGGAGACAGAATATGCACAGGAGAAAAAGTCTCAAAATAAATCCACCAATATCTTGAGAAACACAGAGGCTGTATTCGTGAGCAAGACCAGGGTTCCATAAAAATGGGATATTTAGTGAGCAGAAAGGGATTCTTGAAATTTAGAAGTAATAACATATCTAAAAGATTGGAAGATAAAGAACTCTTCCAGAAAATAGGTCAAAATGACAAAAATGGGGAAAATAGGAGAGAAGAGTTAGTATTAGAGAACCAGTGCAGGAGATCCAACATCCAGCTCATAGGAATTCCAAGTAGAGGAGGGAGAATATGGTGGCGGAAATGACAAAATCAAGAAGATTTCTCAGATCTAAAGGACATGAATTTGGAGATTGAAAGGGCTTACCTAGTGCCCAACACATAAAAATGGACTCACAGAAAGAACATTGGGGACAAAGATCCTACATGGTTTGAAAGGGAAAAGAAAAGCCATTCACATTCAAAGGGACAAGAATAAGAATAGTGGCAGACTTCTCAAAAGCAACATCAGAAGCTGGAAGACAATGAAGTAATGATTTCAGAATTCTGAAGGGCTCTCTCTGGAGGAGAATTAGTTTTGACCTAGATTTTTATATTTCACCAAACTACAAGAGCAAAGATAAAATATTCAGACTTGCATAGTCTCCAAGAATTTACCCCCTCTTCATGTTTTCTTAGCAAGCCACTGGAGGATATGCCCTACCTGAACAAGGAGTAAATCAAGAAGAGACACGGGCTGTGTGGGAAATACGAGGCGCTCCGCAGGAGACAAGGGAGGCTGGTCCCAGGGTGACAGTGTGCACGGAGGGCAGCCAGTCTAGAGTGGGCAGCCCTAAAGACTGGAGTGGGAATGTCTTCCAGAAAGTGAAATTCATAGCATAACCGAGGAATATAGAAACCAAGAGAAAATAAAGACATTTGGCAGGAAAGTTTGGCTTTGAATTAATGTTAAGTACCTAGAAAATCAAGCAAATTAAAAAGAAATGACCGGGTGCTGTGGCTCATGCCTGTAATCCTAGCAATCTGGGAGGCCAAGCGGGGAGGATTGCTTCAGCTCAGGAGTTGGAGACCAGCCTGAGCAAGAGTGAGACCCCGTCTCTACTAAAAATAGAAAAATTAGCCAGGTGTCATGGCGCCTGTGCCTGTAGTCCTGAGTACTTGGGAGGCTGAGGCAGGAGGATCGCTTGAGCCCAGGACTTTGAGGTTGCAGTGAGCTAGGATGACTCTAGCCAGGGTGACAGAGCAAGACTCTGTCTCAAAAAAAAAAAAAAAAAAAGAAATTGCTAGTTCTCGGAGTGGGAACAATGTTAAAGAAGAAAAGAAAGCTGGTCCTAGTTTACTACATGGGTAAGCAGTGAATAGCATTTCTGTTATAATGCAGACATTGAAGATGGATCTAGCCAAAATTACTGGTACGGTCATATTGGTAGAAGGGAAGGAGTGAAGAGGTGTGCAGGTCAGACACTTGAATTCTCATCTGCCACAATGGGAAGGCAACAGGGAATGCTTAACGCTGGGAAGAAAGAAATAACGAAAGGAAGACAAATGCCAAAAGAATCGCCTAAGCAACTGTCTTTGGGGAACTAGAAGGGAGGAGGGCATGAAAACAAACCTGTGCAAATGTTTGGCACTTGGAGCTATGTGCGTGCTTCACTGTGATAAAGATAAAACTTTTAAAAATCACCTAAACTTAAGGCAAGTGGTATGAGAAGTATAAAATGAAGTTTATTAGCTATTATACTAAATTACATGGAATGCAGGTACTACATTTTGCCAAATGTAGATGGACTAAATTTGACTGTTAAAGAACAGAGCCTATTGGATTGGCTTATTCAACCCATATTTCCCATTTTTGCTACAAGCACCTGTTGCCCTTTCTTCTAGTAAAGCACCTGACTTGGATTTGCTGTTTTCCCCTGTTAGAAAAGATCCGTGGAACTGCTTGTCAAAGTTCTCTGCCTTTCTAAGGAGCCGACATTGTGACTCTAAGCCACGTCATTAGAACACTTGCTCCCTAGACTTTTATTCTTGATCACAGTGACATAAAGACTGAAAGTAGTTGAGACTGAATCATCCCAGCTATGACAATATGAGGAGGACCACCCGTCTGTTCCTGCCACCTGGAGCTCCTGACTGTCTTGTTTCCTCTGCTTTCTTTACTGTAAGCTTTTCCTACTGGTTCCAGCTCATGAATTCCTTTTCTCTTTTAACTAGTGAGTCAGTATCGGTTGCTTATAACCTATGAACTCTAACTGATATAGGTTAAACCTCAAATGAGTTTCAGCTGGATAAGAGAAAAAAGCATGGTTAAGATTAAAGGAGTATGCATCTGTGTAAGCAAGCAAGCAGGCAGGCAAGACAGGTAAAAACACAAAGATAGTAGAACTTACAAAGTCCACACAACAGAATTTAAGTTAAAAAGCATTAAAGACAAACCAGGTCATTATTAAATAATAAAAGTTACGATTTATAAGGAATCTGTAACAGTCTTATGAGGATCAAAAAAATACAAACCCTCCACCCAAAACTCAGCAGCCAAATGCATAGTGAAAAAAAAAATCTTAAAAGCTGAGAGAACCTAATGAAAGTGCAGTTGTGGTGGGGGATTTTATCTGTTTCGGAATTTGCCTTAGTCCATTCGTGTTGCTATAAAGGAACACCTGAGGCTGGGTAATTTATAAAGACAGGTTTATTTGGTTCAGGGTTCTGCAGGCTGTACAAGAAGCATGGCCCCAGCATCTGCTTTTGGTGTGGGCTTCAGGGAGCTTCTACTCACGCCAGAAGGGGAAGGGGGGCCAGTATGTGCAGACATCACGTGGCGAGAGCGGGGGGAAATGGCAGGCTCTTTTTAATAACTAGCTTTCGCGGGAACTAAAAGAGTGGGAACACCAAGCCATTCATAAGGGATGCACCCCATGACCCAAAACACTTCCTACTCGGTCCCACCTCCAACATTGGGGATCAGATTTCAGCATGAGGTTTGGAGGGTCAAATATCCAAACTGTGGCAGAATTCAACAGATAAAATAGAATATGGAGATACACAAACCATTAGAAAAAGAAGCAGAAAATATGAATAGGGAAAATCCACATGACTAATAAACATGAAAATATGCTGAACCACATTTAGGGATATGCATGTTAAAGTAACAAGAAAATATTTTTAATCTGTCAAATTGGCAAAAATTCAAGAGTTATAACATCTACTGGAGAAGATATTGGAAAATAGGTACTTTCAAAGCTATTGATAGAGATGTAAATTATTAGAATATTTTGAGGAAGTAACCTCTAAATATCTCTTCAAATATAAATGCTCATACCCTTTGACTCAGCAGTCTGAATTTTGGGAATCTGTCTTATAGAAATAATTGGAACCAAAATGTACTGGATGTACATATGAAAACGTTTATTGCAACATTGCATTGGCAAAAATTTGAAGAAAACCTGAATATCGATAAATGGAATAGTTCTGAATAAAACTGTAGTACATCCATATGGAATATTATCCAGCTGTTAAAGAGTTGATACTGTCAACTTGAACATATTATTGACTAGGAAAGCAAATGGCAAAGTAATGTGTCTGATTTGACCCCATTTGTATGAAATATATAATAAAAACCGTATGTATGATATGTATGTATGAATGTTTATGAAGAAAGGTATGGAAGTGTCAACCAGGCTATTAACAACTGTCGCTTTCGGGAGTTGAGAGGGAGCAAAGAAGGTCTTGATTTTTTCACTTTCCCCAGTAAGCACATGAGGCTTTTGTGATGAAGATTCGTAATTGATCAAATAAAAATTTTACCAAGGTAATACATTTTTTAGGAAATGTGTAATATTTAATCAGCAAGAACGTTGTGGTTTTAAGTGGTACAGATGTGGATGTACTTTTCTGTGGATGACAGTGGCGTTTGTTTTTATTTTCAATTATCAGGGTTTGCCATGTGATATTTTATATTTTAATTAAAGGGCTACCTGTTCTAAAATGTTAGGGATTCTGTTGTTATACTTCTGAATGTTTTTGTTTTGGATAGGGCTGTCTTCATCAGTGGAATACAGCATGATGGAGTTGGAACAAGAGCTTGAAAATGTAAAGACTCTTAAGACAAAATTAGGTATTGTACTTTTTTTTCTTGACTTGTCTATTGGTCCTGGTTTCTTATTAAGACTTTACTGCAGTCTAAAATATTTGAAAATTTATGAAATCTTTAATTTATGTTAAAAGCTTTCAATCTGTCTAACCTCATTGAAAAAGACTGTCTTCTAGTTTGGAGAAAGAATGAGTATGTATTTATTTACCTTCTTTTGTTTTGTGTATATACAAAATGACTTTTCAAAGATGTTGATATTCAAGGATGTTGCTCCACTATCTTTTTACTTGCATTATTTCTGACAAGTAATCTGTCATACTTATCTTTTTATGTGCTTTTTCTGTATCTGCTTTTAAGATGTCCTCTTTATCATTGATTTTGAGCAATTTGATGTGATATGCCTGAGGAGTTTTCTTCATATTTCTTGTTCTTTGGGTTCATCGAGTCCCTTAGATCTAGGAATTTATAGTTTTCATCTAATTTGGAAACATTTTATTTTGGTATATAATCCTTTTAATATGCTGCTTACTGTGCTGTGCTTTGCTGTTTTGCATCAATATATATATTTTTTTACAACCATTACTTCTCCAAATAGTTTTTCTTTTCCCCTCTGTGCCTACCTTTTCAGGACATATCTGTTAAGCCATAGTTCAAGAATGTTCTTTTAGTTTTTAGTCTTTTTTCTTTGTGTGCTTCATTTTGTATAGTTTCTATTGCTATGTCTTCACTTTGACTAATCTGTTCTTTATGTGTCTAATCTACCTTTAATTCTAACTGGTGGTTCTCCCTCTGCACCCCCCCCAGACAATGCAGTTTTCATCTCTAGAAATTCCATTTGGACCTGTTTTATATCTTTCATGTCTCTAATTTTCACATGTTTAATCTGTGTCCTCCACTTTTTGAAAATATGGAACGCAACTATGACAACACTTTTAATGTTTTTGTCTGCTAATTCTAACATTTGTGTTAGTTCTTGATAAGTTTTGATTGATTTTTTCCTCATCATTAGTTGTATTTTTGTGCTGCTTTGCATGACTAGCAATTTTTGATTAGTAAACAGACCTCGTGAATTTTGCCTTGTTGGGGGCCTCACTTATGGTATTCCTATAAGTGAGAAACTTTGTTCTGGGATGCAGCTAAGTTACTTGGAAACAGTTTGATTAATTTTGTCTTGCTTCGAAGACTTGTTAGGCTAGACCAGAGCATCATTGCATCTCTGGCCAATTAGTCCCCACTTCTGAGGCTAGACCTTTCTATGACTTCTATCCAACGTCCTGTGATCTGTGAGGTTTTGTACTGTCTTGTGGGAGCAGGCACTGTCTTGGCCCTTCATGATGGTCGAGTAGTGTTTGCTCTCCTATTTTTGGGTGGTTCTTCTTCACCAGTGGATTGTTTCCTCACATGCCCGAGCCAACCATTACTCTGCAGAACACTCGAGGGTGACCCCTGCAGGTCCTTGTAGTGCTTTTTCTGTGCTGCAGTCTCCTCTCTGGTACTTTGCTTTGCGAACTCCAGCTGCCTTAGTCTCCCCAGACTCCCATTTCGTGTCCTCAACTCAAGAAATGAGCTGGGCTCAGCTTGGGTTCCTCCTCCTTGCACCAAGGCCTAGAAATTTTCTCAAGATGGTGAGCTGTGTCAAACAGGGCTCACGCTGTTTCCCGTCTCTTGGAGGTCATTGTTCCTCCACAATCCAAAGTCCAATATCTTGAAAACTGTTGTTTCATATATATGTATTTTTTGGTTTCTTAATTGTTTCAAGCTGGATGGTAAATCTGGTCCCTGTTATTGCTCCATCCTCCTCAGAACTGGAAGTCCAGTATTGTTTTTGAAAGTCAAAACAAATGTCATTCATTCATTTTCATTTCTGTTAATAGCACCATATTGCCTAAAGGTACTTTAGTCATCCTGCTGTTGGTGGATATTAGATATGTTTCCAGCTTTTCGCTGTTATGAATAATGTTTCTATGAACATTCTTGTACATATCTCTTGGTATATATTTTATAGGGTACATACTAGACATAGAATTATAAGATCATTGTGTCTGTGCCTGTACCACTTTTGTAGATAATGCCGAACTGTTTGCCCAGGTAGTTGTATTATTTTGCATTCTGCTAGAGGTGAGCAGTATTCCCTGTTGCTCCAGGGCCTTGCCGACACTTGACAATGTTGGACTTTAAAATTTTTTACCTGTTTAGTGGGTGTGAAATGGTATTTCATTGGTGTTCTAATTTTATGTTCCTGATTTGTTCCTCGCAGATCACAGGACGTTGGATAGAAGTCATAGAAAGGTCTTGCCTCAGAAGTGGGGACTAATTGGCCAGAGATGCAATGACGCTCTGGTGTAGCCTAACAAGTCTTTGAAGCAAGACAAAAATAATCAAACTGTTTCCAAGTAACTTAGCTGCATCCCAGAACAAAGTTCCTCACTTACAGGAATACCATAAGTGAGGCCCCCAGCAAGACCCCCACTATTTTTGTTTCTAGTGCTCATCTAGCTTCTGCTTGAGAAATACCCATTAGTATTTCATTTACTGCAGGTTTGCTGGCAATAGATTCTCTCAGTTTTTGTTTATCTGAAAACATATTTACTTTGTTTTCTCATTTGTAGGGCTTCTTTTTTAAACAAAATTTAGAATTCTTATTTGGTAATTTTCAACTGTAAAAAGATGTCATTCTGTTGTCTTCTGATTTCTGGTTAAAAGTCATATTGTTGCTCTTTTAAGGGCTTTATAGATTTTCTTTTTGTCTTTGTTTAGCAGTTTTACTCTGATGTGCTTAGATGTGTTTTCTTTGTATTTTTCTTTCTTGAAATCTGTGTCACTTCATGACTCTGTGTCTTGATGCCGTTCATCCATTTGGGAAAATTGTTAGCCATTATCTTATCAGATATTCCTTTTGCCTTATTCTCTTTTATTTCCTCAGACTGCAATTACACATATGCTAGACTTTTTTACTCTTACATTTTTTCTGTATTTCTCTCCTTTTTTTATTTCCATGCTCAGACTGTGATATTTTCTGCTGGTCTGTTTTTCATTTCAGTGTCTTTTCAGCTATTTATAACTGTTGTCAAAACTATCTATTGAATTCTTCGTTTTAGTTACAGTATTTTTCAGTTCTAGAATTTCTACTTGATTATTTTTTATAGATTCAAATTTACTTATGAAATTTGCCATTTTGTCACTTATTTTGTTGAACATATCATTCATTTATTTTAAGGCATCTTTCTGATAAGTCCAATGTGTGGATCAACTGAGGGTCTGTTTCCATTGTATTTTTTGCCCTCTTTGTATCTCCTGGTAATGTTTAATTGAATGTTAGACATTAATTGTACAAAATTAAAACTCTGGATGATACTTTTTTTTTTTTTTTTTGAGAAGATTTACTTTTGCTTATGGTAGACAAATAGAATAGGGACATACCAATTTAATCCATCTGGGCTTGAGATCATTCAAGGCTGGGTTTTGGTCTTTACAAGGCCTGGTCTGTTTCTAGCTTGGCATTTATCCTAGGGTATAGTTTTTTATTGATCTTAATTGACAGGCTGATTGTTTTGTTTTTGACTATGACCCTGTCTTCTTAAGGAACTATAGTTGTTAACCTTGAAAGAAACATGAGCCTGACAGAAGCTTTGCTTTGCTTCTCCGTCTTCTAGCTGCATCTTTCTGTTGTTCTTCTCAGCCACGGGTGCCTTGAAGGGAAAGTGGCATTGCATGCCAGGCTCACTTCTTTGCCCTTTCGTTTTTTCTGTGATCATAGCTTCTCTAATTCTGGCTGCCTTGATAGTCCCAAGCTCCGGTGTTTCTCTCCCTGGCTCTGTGGACTTTGCTGAAAGCTTTGCTTTAGCACTGTTGCCTGTTACCCATTGATTTTTCGGTTCCGGGGGCCGGGCCACTTCCTTTTGGGATTTGCTTGCAGGTAAAGGGAGTGTAAACTGGAGGACTCACCCCAATTTACTTCACAGAGTATTGGCCCTCAATTTTCATTGTCTTAGTAGCTCTCTGATATGTTCATGCAGATTTCTTTTTTTGTAAGGTTCGATACATCTGTTCCACTAGTTCTAAACATGAGGATTAGTGTAAGATAAGATAGTCCTTTGTAGCTCTAAGTGGAAGTTTGCTGCCAGCCTTTAGAAAACTGAAAGTGTTTATCTTCAGGATATAAGAATAGAAGGATTTTTATTCATGTTGCTTTATTCATTCAAATATATCTATACCAATGTGAAGGTCTATATCAAATACAATACGGTTGGTCCTCTGTATCCATGGGGGACGGTTCTAGGACCCTCTGCAGATACCAAAATCCGTGGATGATTGAAAACTGCCATTGCAGAACCGTGGATATGGAGGGCCTGCTGTGTTTCTGTATTTTCAAAGTAAGCTGTATGTTGACAATATATTAATATTTCCTTAACAACTGAGATGTCTTTCCAGAGCTGAAATTTAAACATCACAGGATTGAGCTGTTAATAATGTAGCAAATGGGTTTTAATACTCCGATTTTTATAGTGTGTGAAGGAAAATTAAGTGTAATTTATATTTTTCAAAAAAGAAATTATTTATGTAAAAGTAGTGCATACTGATCATATGTGGAATGAAAATGTGAATCTGAGGAGAATTTTTGGAAATTACTGAAATCTATTGTTTTATTTTGTTTTTTCTTCTAATAGAGAGACGAAAAAAGGCTTCAGCATGGGAAAGAAATTTGGTATATCCTGCTGTTATGGTTCTCCTTCTTATTGAGACAGTAAGAATTTATTTGCCTAAATAAAAGCAAATTATATTTTATTTACTTCAGCACTTGAGTATGGTGACTCCTTCAGCAACATGGTTTCTAGTAAGCTGGTTTTCTATCAATAGGATTAAAATCCATCTGTGCCTTTATTTGTAAAAACTCAATAAAGTAAAAATGGAAATTAATGGCAATTTAAAAAAAAATCTCAAGATTGTATCCTCATGAAATTAGGAAATTCAGCATTTTGTTTATTTGAAAAGAAAACACAAGCTGTTGCAGATACTCTACTTCAAACTCTGTGATAGAATATGAAAATTTCATTATGAAATTAGTTCTGATAATATTTTACCACTTTTGAAGTGTGTAGAGTTGTGTGTTTCCAGTTGGTGAGATCGCTTAGTAAAAGGATCTATATTATTAGCTTTTGTCACAAGCTCTAAAATTATAATAATTTGCAGGATCTTTAGGATTTCTTGAGGAGTTTTATATGTAGTCTGATTGCTTTAGTGTTATATGTAGAATTTTGGTCTTGACTGCTTTCCGTCTATTCTGAAACATACATTTGGTTACTTGGATTTTAATATTTGTGCATTGGTGAAAACTTTCTGAAATCGAGAGCTGACAGCCTACCTTTTGTATTGTAGTCCATCTCGGTCCTCTTGGTGGCTTGTAACATTCTTTGCCTGCTGGTTGATGAAACAGCAATGCCAAAGGGAACAAGGGTAAAGTAAAATGGTTTCAGTGTCTTTCTTTTGCAAAAGTATTCTGTGCATATACCTTGAGTTTCAATAAGTAAATGAAAACATTCACCTTTCTGCATGTATATACTTCAAGTCATGTGAATTTTCTTATGCAAACAGCCTTTATAAACAGTGTTTGTAAACTACGATTTTTGTTTCTAGTTTTTTACTTTGGATTATCAGGGCCTTTTTTTCAAGTATAAGAGCTCAAAAGTGTCACTCAGTTTATGAAACTGCATCAAAATGTACAATTACTAGAAGAGAGGTGTATTCCTTTTCGTGATTTAACTGTTCTCTTGTTTAAAAATTAATGATTTTATGACTTTTTTTTTTTTTTTTTTTGAAAAAAAGTTTAACTCTTTTTCCCTGGCTAGAGTACAGTGGCGTGAGCCTAGCTCACAGCAACCTCACACTCCTGGGCTCAAGCAATCCTTCTGCCTCAGCCTCCCGAGTAGCTGGGACTACAGGCGTGCGCCACCATGCCCGGCTAGTTTTTTCTATATATTTTTAGTTGTCCGATTAATTTCTTTCTATTTTTGGTAGAGATGGGGTCTCGCTCTTGTTCAGGCTGGTTTCGAACTCCTGAGCTCAAACAATCTGCCCGCCTCGGCCTCCCAGAGTGCTAGGATTACAGGCATGAGCCACCGCGCCCAGCCGATTTTATGACATTTTGTCAGTTACCCTATTTGAATATATTCTTCGTATGGAAGGTAGTTACCACTAAATATTCATACTGACATAGTTTTTCTAGGTGTTTCTATAAAATTTTGGATACTTAACATGGCATTTAAATTTTGACATTTTATTGTATTTTCCACATTCAGCAGCTTTTCCATTCGCCATTGCAATGACTTTGAAACTCTTCCAGACTTTTGATGTCACTGATTTCTCTCTGAACCAGATAATATGTCTTTCTCTGTCATAGAGAAAAGTCGATATCTATCTTAATTCCTTCCCTCCAGTCTGCGATAAAGATACCCTGTTTTTTTCAAAAGATAATTCCTTTAACCACATTCTTGATTTGGATCCTCCCATCCCAGCCTTCCCAGGACCTTGTGCCATCTGTTACTGCCATTGTCACATTTTGGTACAGCCTCTTCTCCATGAGTGTAGGCCTACCAACATGCTCCAGGTGCCTCTTTCTACAGACAAACAAGTGATAATAAACTGTCCTTCTCCATCTACAACTTTGTCCTTTTTGTTTGTTTGTTTATACCCAAACCCACTAATAGAGCAGTCATTTACTGTATTGACTTCCTATTCACTTTTTAACACGTTTTAATATACCAGCAAAACAAAGTCCCAAGCCTTATGGTGCATTTTATGGTGCATTTTACTATCCCCCTCAGTGCATAGTAGAGGATGACTTTTACTTTGTAGGAGCTCCCTTTGTGACTGTGCAGATAAATCACATCATCTTACTCCTTCCTGTAGGCCTACTCTTGAGACAAGGAACACTTCCAAAATATTTTCCATCTTGGTCAATAAGCTTTTTGTAGGGGAGAAAAAGTAATATCTTTTCCTCACCTTTTGCAAGGTTCATGGCTGAGCCCCCTATAACAAAAGACAGATTAACAAGAGAAAAGGAGACACATTTATTTAGATAAGTTGTATGTGTCATAGGAAACTTCAGAAATGAAGACCAAAGAATCAGGAAAACCTGTGTATGTTTATGCTTAAGTTTGATAAACAGTGAACAGTCATGAAGAAGTATGATTGGGCAAAGGGGGTCTGATCTAATGGTTATAAACTAGGGGGAGCTTAACAAGGCCCTTTTGTTCCGATTCTTTGATATGTCCCAGTGTCTTCAGAGATAACGATATTTCTTTCCTCCAGGCATAGGAAGGGCACCCCTCCAATGAGAGTCTTATGGCCTACTTCAGAGGAGAAAGGCAGGAGGTCAGAGAGTGACCTTTCTAGGTTTTCTTAAACACCAAAGTGCCATATTTTATGGTAGTGTGTCCTGAACCCCATCACTTTCTATTAGCGTTGTTTATTTCTTCTTCAGAATATTGACAAAAAGTTATTTTTTATTAGGCTGACTATACATTCTTAACACATTGACTACCACACTAGAAAAAAAAATTTTTCCTTGGGGCCACAGTGTTTTACTACAAAAATGAATACAAACTTCAAAAACAAAATAGTCCTCTCTAATTTAATGAAAAATTTGTTATTTTTTATTGTTTTCTGTGCGTGAGTTATATGCAACTTGAAAAATAGTTCACACAGCTTCCAAGGTAGAGACATATGACTTACATATGCTTCATTAGGCTCCTGGCTCAAAACTAGTGTGAGTTAAATACAACTCACATGACAGTTAGTGTGTTAATTATCCCTGGTGTTTCTGTTAGATGTAATTTAAGCTGATCCATAAAATAGTAACCCATACTCAGATAGTTCTTTTCATTAGTAATTTTTGAAAATATTGTTCCTACTTCAGTAGGAAATGATTTTTTGTCTATCTCACTATATTCATTATAAAAGTATTATTTTCTTTGGTATTTTTTACATTCTAGGTAAAGATAGGTTTTGAGATACGTATAATGTTTAGGAAAAAATTTATAACATTACTTTTAGAAAATCCGTGTTAGCAGGTGTGTCTTTTATAACTCTGAATTCCTAAGGAATATTTGAAGAAAGGGAACTTTCAACTGAAGAAACAGGATACGCTTATTCACCTTCTTTCTGTGCTTAGCTTAATTTTAACACACTTCAACTGTATAATTTTTGTGTGTTGCCTCAGTGTTCAGATAGTATAAACTCTATTCCTAGTGTACTGTTGTATTTTAAAAAATTCTCTTCTAAGAATATTCAGGATTTTTTCTTCAAGTAGCAAATTGTCCCATTTTTTATAAAAGTAAGCGTAATGATTTACCTATCTCAAAACCTATCTTTACCTAGAATGTAAAAAATACCGAAGAAAGTAATACTTTTATAATGAATACAGTGAGATAGGCAAAAAAAATCATTCCCTACTGAAGTAGGAACAATATTTTCAAAGATTACTAATTAATCATATCATTTTGACAAGTAACTTAAATTACATTTGAGATAAATCAGATTTTTTTAGCTTGTTAAAATTGTTAACATGGTGGCTGTATTTGTTGATGAAATCAGTCTAATGTCATATTTTGTTGGGCTTTGAAAGTCTAGATGTTATTTCCAGGTATTAAACATTCCTAATTTCAACTGTCTTATATTTACGAAACAACAATTTTAGGGAAACCAAATATAATGATGTCATTGAGTTCTGAAAAGTGTTTTCCTTCCAGGGGCCTGGAATAGGAAGTGCCTCTCTTTCTACTTTTGGTTTTGTGGGAGCTGCACTTGAAATCATTTTGATTTTGTATCCTTTCTTTAATGGACTGGTCTGTCTGTTAACAAGTTTTCTGTCTAATTTTCTGGGGCAGTGGTAATTTACTAAGACATTTGTCTAGAAGAAAAAACAACAGGTTGGTCTTCCTTGAGCACTTAAAGTGGCTTTTTGTATTGTTTTCCTGTGGACCTTAAGACTTTCTGGAGACTGCTGAGAACTTAAGGAAACTTGCATTCTTTCGGAGAGTTTTTTTCCTTGATTCTCACAGCTATCTGATGGTGTCCTCTGTTGTCGGTTTCTATAGTCTTCGATTTTTTGGAAACTTTACTCCCAAGAAGGATGACACAACTATGACAAAGGTAAGATAGATTCTTAGGTGACTACGGCCTCCCTTTTTCCTCCCAAGACAAATGGACTATTTTATTTAGTAATTGCCCTGAATGGTTCCTTTGCAGTGATAGGTATTTGTTTGTAAGCTGCATAAACACAAACTGGTAGATTTTCAAAATGCTGAGTGAGTGGGAAAAGGATGTGTTCTGTTTAATTTGGATGTCGTCCATTCACTTGTAAATGCATAGAACTGCAGAGCTTGTTAACTAGCTATAGAAGGCTCCTGAAAGGACTCTTTTTCTTCTAAAGAAAACGTATTGCTAATGAGTAACTTTGATTGTGCTCACTGTACTTCAAGGAGCTTGTTTGAAATCCGAAGAACTTAGTTGCTACAAGTAGTAGAGACAAAGTATTTAAAATTTGAATAATTAAAGTAAGACAGAAGAGTTCTATTCAGAAACATTTTGTAGCCTGAGGTTAATTTGACTTTCTACACTATGTCATTGGCTTCAGAATAATAAAGGCTGTTGCCTTATATAGTGACTGAATCTTTTGTAAAATATTCCCATAGGCTGACAAAGAGGAATAACTAATAAGAACTGCTGGCTTGTTTTCTTTTTGTTATATATGCTATATCTTTAGCCTATTTAAAGGGGAAAACTTATTTCATATGTGTATTTACATACACACACACACACACACACACACACACA